ACAAACATATCAAAATTAATGTTTTTCTAAACCTGACATTTTTATATTATAATCTTTTACACATAAACAATTATAAGTGCGCGTAGCAGTCACACAATTTTTCTCATATGTCATCCGTCATCTTGATGAGAATGATGAGTTTAAGTTGATTTTATTTGATGATCATACAAAGATAATGATTTTAACTTAGTCTCATTCTATTGTTATTATGTCTTATTTGTTGACATTAGTTTGCAAAATTATGTCTTTGACTTATAACTATTTTTATATTTGTCATCGACCTATGCTATTATGAATTATTCTTTTATATAGTAATAGGATTTGCTACTTGAATATGCATATACTTTTATTTCTTTTTACTATATATGTTGTTTTGTAAAATATATAATTTATATGTTCAAAATAATACATCATATTATACACATTTATGTAGGGATGGATCCGGTTCGGGCCGGGCCCAGTTCGGGACGGGCCCGGTTTGGGCCGGGCCCGGTTCGGGCCTTGAACCGGCCGGGCCTCGGTTCAAGGTTTGGGAGGCCCGGAACCGGCCCGGGTAAACCCGGGTCCGGTTCGGGCCGGGCCACCCGCCCGGTTCACGGGCCGGGCCCGGTTCGGGCCGGTCCTTTTTTTTATTTATTTATGTATTATATTATTATAATAATTGTTATTAAAACAAAATTCAAGTGCATTTATTTGAAATAGGAAGTACATTTGAGAATTGAGGAAAATGTTTTACATATTGTGTATAATTTACTTAGAAAAGTGATTTGATTTAGAAAAGTGTAAGGAAAGTGATATGATTTAGAAAATTATACATATTGTGTAAGGAAAATGTTTTTAATTTTTTAATTAAGTAAAACTATTTTTACTTAGAAAAGTGATTTGATTTATAATTTACAAATGTTACAAAATAGGTGTATAAGTTGTAAGTTGTAAGTTTGTAACAAATTAATTAATTTACATATTAATATTACATATTTTAATTTAAAAACAGCCTTTACATTTTACAAAAAAAAAATTCAAGTTGTAAGTTATAAGTTTGTAACCAATTAATTAATTTGAGAAGTGCTACATATGAAGTACAAGTTTACAAATTAATTTTATTGAATTGAATTATTGAATTGATGTACACAATAATATAAAATAATTCAAGTATTTTTATTTCAAATAAGAAGTACAATTGAGAATTAGGATGCATTTAAGAAATGTAATACATTTTGAAATAAAAATCAATCGGAATCTCCGCCTTCGGTGGTTGTTTCCTCCATAAAGTGGCGGGTGGGAGCGATGGTCATTTCTTGAGTTCTTCGTTTGGCCTTCAACCAATCATGGAAGCAAACTAGCGTCTCAAGAGAGCTCAGGCTCAACCTCGTTCTATAATCGGTTAGGACGTTGCCGGCCGCACTAAATTCTTGTTCCACGGCAAGTGTTGATATCGGCATTGCTAGCACTTGCTTAGCCATATTTGATAAAACCGGGAACGTTCTTTCATTGTCCTTCCACCACTTAAGAACGTCAAAATCATCCCCAACTTCATAATCAACTTTCATTGTTAGATACAAAGAAAGCTCGTTAACTGAGCTTTGTTCAGTAGCGGGAGTTGCTCTACTTTTTTTCATAAGAGAACCAAATGCAGATTTTAAAAGTGATTTTCCTTTAGATGAAGAAGATGTTCGCGGCATGGGAGGGGGTGCATTACCATATTGTGCATAAAATTCATTATACAATTGATGAAATAAATTACTAACCTCGTTGTATTCTTGTTTAGGGTCGATGGGGTTATCATCGAACTCTTGAGTTGGAAAAAAACAATTATAATAGTAATCTATACAAGTTGGCAACGAGACAAGTTTATAACGAGGATCAAGAACAAATGCAATACCATATATATGCGGAACATGTGAATAATATTTTAAAAACTTTTGTTTCATGAAATCACAAAAATAACTAACGTAAGCGGCATCGGAAAATTCTAAAAAAGCGCCGGCGAGATTAACAGCTTCAACAAAAAATTCGTTTGCGGTAGGATTATAAACATGACTAAAAGTTTGAGTTGCGTTATTAAAATATACCAAAACATTAACAATTTTTTCACAAGTGTCGATGTCAGCCGGGTTTATAATATAGTTACAAGTTTGCCTTAAAAAAGCAGGAAAATGATCTTTATATCTAATAAGTACTTGAATTAAGTTATAAGTACTATTCCAACGAATAGACAAATCTTTAGGAAAAGCACAATAATTGACACGTCTTTCCTTCAAATATTGCCGTCATTGCATTTTTAGTGGAGTGTTAGCCCAAATCAATTTAATTCCCCCCTTCACTACCTCCAAAGCATGTCCTAATGCCGCTAATCCATCTTGTACACACAAATTTAGAATATGACATGCACAACGTTGATGAAAAAACCTACCCATCAATGTAGAAGCACCACACAATTCACGCAATCTAGGTATAGCAGCAGTATTATTACTAGCATTATCAAAACCTACAGCAAACACCTTATCAAGCAAATTATACTCAATTAAAATACGCTCAATGAGAATATAAATATTATCAGCAGTATGACGATCATTGAATTCACGAATAGCAAGAACATGTTTATGCACATTCCAATCATCATCAATATAATGTGCAGTAAGACCCAAATAATATAAATGATGATAAGTATCCTCCCATATATCGCTACAAATACTAACACGTCCATTAAAGTTTGCGAAAAATGTTTGTAAATTTTCTTTTTCGAAGTTATATTGCCTTATAACTTCTTTTTTAATCGTTTTGCGACTATAATTTCTAAATTGAGGATTTAAAGTGCCTTGAGCATAATCTCTTAAAGCAAGACTTTCGGAAAAAATATAGGGTAAATTTTCTTCAACAATTAAATGAGACATACCAGTCAAATGTTTTTGATCATCATAGGAGAAATTACCAAAGGGTTGAGAATTTGCAAACCTCGATATTTGTGTTTGCTTCCCCTTGCCCTTGTCTATTTTCGCATACTCCACAAGATGGGCGGACTTAAGATGCCTTGTGAAACTCCCGTATCCGCCAGAAGTTCCCAAGCTATACTCTTTGCCGCAATGATTGCAACTCGCGTACCATTTTTCGGTATTTTTGTCTTTCCTTTTTGTAAAATTGTTTTCAATAATAGGAGATTTAGATTTCTTACCAGTTTGGGTTGAACCGCCCTCGTCCTCCAAGTCTTGCTCATCATCCGGGGTGCCGTGAGTCCCGTCGCCCCCCGCGTCCTCCTCCGCATCGTCATCCTCGAGCTCCTCTTCATCAATGGTTGTCGGGATGGGTTGTTCTTGTGCAAAGCATGGATCGTTTTGGGACAATAGGTTTTGTAGATGCTCGTCGGACATCATCATATCATCTCTCCGTTGGTAATCCGTTTCAAAATCATCTCGACTTTGAAAAGAAGACTCCGCCCGCGCTTTACCTTTGCCTTTGCGTGAATTAGGACGAGTCGACGCAATCTCCCTCTTGCGGTTGCGTTGGAGATTACCCACATCTACAGAATGTCTACCACGTTCCATCTTTAAAATTGAACAAATATTAAATGATATCAAATATTTTATATGAGTACAATAGTAATAATAAAATGTGACTAAGAAAACTATTGCAAATTCGAACTAAAATATGAGTATACAAATCGAACTACTTCTAATTAATACTTTAATGAGAAATGTATCAATTAACTAAATATTAACTAGTTTGACTAATATAAATATGAGAAATGTAAAAATTAACTAGTTTTTTTTTTACTTTAATGAGCAATGTACAAATTAACTAATATTAATATGAGAAATGTAACAATTAGGTAGTTTAACTAATATTAATATGACAAATTTAACAATTAACTACTTTAGGTAGTTTTTAAAATGACAAATGTAAAAATTTACTAGTTATTACTTAATTGCTACATTTCTCATTAAAGTAAAAAAAGTAGTACATTTTTACATTTGTCATATTAATATTAGTTAAAGTATACATTTCTCATTAAGTACTTTAACTAATTGAAATATGACAAATGAAACAATTAAGTACTTTAACTAATTGAAATATGACAAATGTAAAAATATACTACTTTAACTATTTTTTCCTTTAAAGAGAAATGTAGAGAAATGTAGAGAAATGTAACAATTAACTAATTTAATAGATAAATTAGAAGTCTAACAATTAACTACTATTATAAGTAATATATAATATAATGTTTATAGTATATAATATATAAGTATATTACTATAAGATGAGTAATACACTTATACTTAATACTTTAATATATATATATATATAAGTATATATTAACTAAATGTAATATGTAAATATAAGTAAATAACAATAGTATGTATAAAAACTAAATATCAAATAAATATGAATGTGTATAAGTATATATATAGTATATATAATGTGTAAATATATTATAAGTAATATATAATATAATGTTTATAGTATATAATATATAAGTATATTACTATAAGATGAGTAATACACTTATACTTAATACTTTAATATATATATATATAAGTATATATTAACTAAATGTAATATATAAATATAAGTAAATAACAATAGTATGGATAATAATTAAATATCAAGTGAATATGAATGTGTATAGTATATATACTTATATAGTATATATAATGTGTAAAGAATTATAATATGAATGTGTATAAGTATATATTTTTAAATAGATAATTAATATATAAGTAGATATAATAATTATATAAATTATATATATGTAGAAAGAATTTGGAGAAGATGAAGAATGAAGATGATTGAATATGAGAGATTTAGAGTAGAGAATTAGAGAGTAAGAAGAGTTGTAGAAGAAGAGATGTAAAAAATGTAGAGAAAATAGGAGTTTAAATAGATTTTTTTTTATACCCCACTCCCACCCCCCACCCGACCCCCCACCCAACCCCCCTAACCCCCCAGACCCCCCCTCCTATGCTCCCAACGGCTATAGAGCCGTTTGGGAGCCTTCCCAACGGCTAGGAGGAGCCTCTTCAAATTACAAAAAAAAAAAAATTAAAAAAGTTGGCCGTTGGAGGCCCGAACCGGGCCCCGCCCGGCCGGGCCGGTTCCCTAAAATGGAGGCCCGGGCCCGGACCGCTATACAACCGGGCCGGGTGGCCCGAACCGGTCAAGAACCGGGTGACCGGGCCGGTCCGGGCCCGCACAGTAGCGGGCCGGTCCGGTTCCGGGCCGGTCCCGGGCCGGTTGGCCCGGCCCGAGTCCACCCCTACGTTTATGTGTTGACGCGTTTTTTAAAAGTCAACGTTTTTTCAATGAATTTTTAACCATTTTTTCATAATGTTAACGAATAAAACGCATACGTATTAAACCTAAACCTCATACTGTATTTAACTAACTGCTTCCTCTTTAGAGCTTGAATGCAGAAAATGAGCCCGAGAGTCTGATCGGCCAGTTAAAAAGCTGCCCGAAAATTATTCAACCAACTAATCGATTGATAATTTTGTTACTTTTCTCCTCCAATAACCTTGCGAAGAGGTATATTCAACTGACGGAAACGTATATTGTAGCCTGTAGGTTACTGTCAGTTAAGTTAGTTTTAGGATATTAGGGATGTTTTTAAATAGATCAAATCAAATTAGATATAAACAAATCAGACATAATTGTAACATAAACATAGAGATAATTAACATCTACCACACCAATTCAGATCAAACTTAAACTGACCAGTTTTGACCAAATTACAATAGACCAAAAAATTACAGATCTATTATAAAAACATTCTAATTGATATTTCATTCCGAGCTTTCAAATTTTGTATGCAGATGTTATAATTGACCTATTAACCATTAACAACTTACTGAGTATATACATAAATGCAACCATTGAGAATTTGATTAATATTCAGAAGTCAAATAATATACTAGTATACAAATAATATACTAGTATACTAGCAGAAGAGAAGAAGACTAGAATTCCAGAAAACATCCAGTTCGTTTAGAATAAATAGGGAATCATTTCATTTCATTTCATTTTTATTTACCCCAGTGCCACAAAGGCTCCACCTACGGTGGGGTAAGGGGGGTCGTATGTACGCAGTCTTACCCATGTACTAAAGCACAGAGAGACTGTTTCCGGATGACTCATAGTGAAAATCGCGTCCAATAATTGCATGGACTAACTGTTGCTTCATAACAAAGAAGCGCAAACAGTTTAGTGAGTCATTTTGCTTTATTCCATCATATTCTCAAGCCAAAAAATAATGAATCTTTGGCTCCATTGCAAATGATGGAAAAAGAATAAATAGGGAATCTGACATGAAAATCTGATCATGCAGATCTAACATTACAGTATTACGTAGTATTATACAAGAAAATCTAGCATACAAATTAAAAAAAAAACATAAACATAAAAAATAAGCAGATCTGAACTGTAAAAGTAATGTGAAGAAATATGGGATTAGTTGCAGTCTTGCCGATCTAAGCAAATTGCAAGATGGCTGAAGCAAATATGAAAGATGGGGATTTATTAGCCTTCACTAAAGGTTCGTTCTTGAGGAAGTTAAATGTATACAGACCTTAATCGGTTGGGGATGAGGATTTATGCTTTGCTGTTTTGGATTTAAGACTTCTAATTTAATTTATAGCTCCGTCTATGGGAATAGGATTCTTGATTAAAGCCAGTACGGTTTTCAGTTTTTCAGTCAGACCAAATCTGAAAATGGAAAACCGAACATTAACCAAACAATAGAATTTTTCAAACAATAATTACCAATTTCAGACGGGAAACCAATTTACATGTCATTTTGGTCTTCGGTTTTATCAGTTCACGCAGTTATTTGACCATCCCTGCAGAAAAATGTTAACACCACAAGCGTAAGATTTCATCCAAGGCAAAGATAGCACAGATGGAGAGAAGAGGAAGCAATAGGAGCTCTCGTATCAGTGCTTGGAAATCCAAAAAAAACTAGAAGGCCCTTAGATTTCATCCATCGTGCAGCTTTTTTAGTGCTTGGAATTTCAAATCTATGCAAGACGGAAATAAATACTAAAACCACGTTTGTAGGAATTATAATAGAAGGCCCTTAAATATGTAGAGGCTACATAAGAGTATAAAACTTAAAGCCGGAAGTCCTAAATTCATTAGGAAACGGACCAATTCAACTAGGACTCGAACTAACACGGATTATAAGAAACTAATAATACTAATAATACTCCAGCTATCAGTACTAAACTGTCAGCAGGTCGCCAGTGTTACATCGCAGCTCTTGAGCCCCTTGGCTGGCTGTCACGTGCTGCATCCCTCCTGCACCTCAAATCCTTTGAGGACGCCGTTGATATGTGTGTCCCAGGCAGGTCAAAAACAGAGGAGATCCTGATGTAGGTTAAAGTTGTTCCAAGAAGAAATACAAGGATTAGAACAACTTTTGTTTTACACTAAAACATTCAAATCAATACAACGTACGAGTTTCTTAATTTCAGCCTCAAGTGATATGCCAAATACCAGGAAACATCATGCTTTTAAACATTTATGATGAAACCATAAAAGTTACATCAGAAGGCAGAAAATCATGCAATCGAGGAAGGTAAATTTAAAATGTACTAAAAATTGTTCGCTGCTTTTTTTCTGCAAATGTACCGAATTTATCTAACTTTAAATTGGTCGATTTTACCCAATTCTATTTTACAATTTTACCCAATCCTGAAGTGACCAGAATAGAGAACAAATCTATGGATCATCATTCTGGTAGAACGAAAATGCAAGTAACATGCCACACATGAATTGTACTACATAACAAAGAAACATTGATAAGAATAATCCCAAGTATGAGATATCTACTTGAAATAATCCCAACTATTAATTATTCCAATATTAATCCTTCTTTAAAGATAATCTTCCCTAAATCTTGTCACTTCTTCAGCAACCGGTTGTTCTGGTAAAAGTCAACTAGACTTTATAATTTTATTAGGCCATAGGCCATAGCCTTAGCTTACGGCCACTGCTGCAACTCTTGTTTTTTCTCATCTCCATACGCAACTAGCTAGCAAAAATATTAATAGGAAGAGCTTTTGAAAATAGCAAATAAGTCCTCTCATACACAAAGAATAAGGACCAGATCTTTTGGAAAATCACATAGCTTTCTCAGAGAAATACCACACGAAGGTTTGTACTATTATTAGCACCACATTTAGAGAAAGTGCAATTCTAACATAAAAACACAACCAGACTAAAGAGAATTGCTATTAGTTTGAATATATACATAGTGTTATAGAGATTTGAATATAATTTAATTCACATGCAAGAGAGAGCTGGTTTGAGTGGGTTGCTTACTTGCTTTTACCCCACAGTTGAGAAGTTTCTATCGAATTACAATAATGAAAATAAAATTATAATTTTTTTGCCTAACTTGCCGATCATAATGTACAACCATAAAACCTCATATAAAAACTTCTCACCTTCTTGATGTACTGAGTCTGATATCCTCACATCCATCCTATGGTGCACTGAATTGAGTTTTTGTTGTTACTATCAGATTGTGTACTAATAATGTATTTTAAGATGAACAACCACATGCTTCCATCTTCATGTTAAACCCTTCCTTCTTTTCTATCTTCCAGTACAACACTTGTTTGGGAGTAAAATAATTCTGTGTAAGAATACAAGAAAAAATGTATTCTTCTCCAATACCAATCATTTACGGGTTACTACAAGTCACTGGAGCACTTCGAGAATTTTATTCAATAGTTGGGATTATTTTGAGATAATTGATAGTTTAGATTATTTAAAGCAGATCAATAATAGCTGGGATTCTTCTAGTGCATTTTTCTAAAAAACAAAAAGTCATACTGGTTTTAAAATCCGTAGGGGGCAAGTGTAATACTTACTGTATTATACACTTAAACTAGGCATGTCTGCATCATTAGATCCAATCTTTCTGTTGCAGTTTCAATGGCAAATAGACCTCGGTTAGATACTGAAAGCCAAAGGAGCTCAGAGCCTGAATCTCGGCCTTGTGTTTGGATTTAACCATCAAACTCAACTCTTCAACCCACCCCGGGTTCTTCTTTACAAAGTCTTCTTCCAGCAAATCCTTCCCTGTTTTAATATCCTGTTCCGTCATATCCAGCCTGCACAGCGCAGGTATGTTATACTTGTCCAAATCGCTAGGCCGAACCCCCAGCCACTTTATATCCGGGGTTGTCAAATTTGCACTGTCATAGGACATGTTCTTCGATCCACACCCATACACAGACAGAATCTTCAATCCATAGGGATCACTATCTACCAAAGCTAGCACAGGCAAATTCAACTCCATCTTCATTTTCCTCAAGAACAGCCTAGTGGCTACATCTGGCTGTCCTTTGGCCGTCACAATTATGCAAGGAAATCGATTGTAAAACCTGTCCTCTGCCAGTCTCATATAAGCAGCATCCTTCTCTACCAATAGTATGAACAGTGCATCACTTTGCATATCCCCTACCCGATCAATGTTTGGGGGTATGGCCTTCCCTCCCATTCCCATCTTCGTGCAGTCTATTACATCACCAGCGTCACTGAAAATAAGCCTTCCCACAACAACCCCTTTCTCAGAAGCAACCACGTTCAGGCTAGATCTGGTACAGCCGAGTATACACGACACATCATCTAGAACAGCGTCGGATTGCGTCTGGTCCCGGAACAGCTTCACGTCGGAGTAGAAGAGGTCACGCTTTGTGACGTGGATGTTCTTCAAGCAGAGCTCGTGGATGAGCCGGAGGATGCGAGTGGTGATAGTGGTTTTGCGGACGGTGGAAACATTGGCGAATTGGCGAACGGAGGCCTTATCCCTGAGTACGATGCGATCGAGTTCGGGAATGTAGAGCTGGTTGGCGGCGGAGCGGGAGGGGACGGAGTAGGAAAAGCCTTGGCCGGAGAGGATGGAGCGTGCAAGGCTGAGGAAGAGATCCTCGATAGTGGTTTTCACAGAGGAAAGCGGGAGATCTTTGACTTCGCGGAAGGAACCGGTGAGCTCGAGGTCGGAAAGGGTTAGGGCTTTGGAGGAGGAGGAGGAAGAAGCTAGTGTGGCTTCCTTTAAGGTTTTTAGGGTTTGGAGAATTACAGAGTCTGGTTTGACCTTGGATTTGAACGGGATCCGGTCAGCGCCTGTTTCGTGGGTGGCTCGCCGACGCTTCTTCTTGTTGTCCGCCATTGGTGCTGGATGACAGAGGCGGGAAACGAATTGAGTGAAACTCGGGAACTTTATGGGGGTACGTTTGATTCCAATGCCCAGTTTTGATTCGAGAGCCTATATAGTACACCCCGGTGTTAGTGAGATGAAAATATGATTATAATTTGTATGTTATGCTCATTTTAAATAACAATTAGGAAAAATTGATTATAATAATTCCAACTATTGGCGGTCTGCTTATAATAATCTTAACTATCGATTATTTCAGAATAATCTCAACTTTAGGGACCTTCCGCCAATAGTAGTCTGACGTGATCGACTATAAATAAATTCTTATAGATTCTAAAAAGATATAACAGGTAATCCCTATAAATAATACCAAATTTTAATTATTAAGCTTTATTTCTATTAAAAATTCACCTGTTATGGCAGGTAATATGCAGTCATGGACCATTATTGACAGACGGTCCATATAGTTGGGATTATACAAAAATAATCAATAATTGGGATTATTGTTAGCTGATCGGCAATAGTTGGGATTATTATTTTTAATTTTTCCTAACAATTATTAAATATGATTGTTTGATTATACTTTATTCACTAGAAACCGTGAATTTCATCTCAATAGCGGATGTTTGATTATATTTTTAATTACAAACCGTGAATTTTAAATAACAATTATTAAATATGATTGTTTGATTACACCGTGAATTTTTTTAAGCAACTAACACCCGGGTATTAGTTGCTTTGTTATCGATATATAGTACTTTATTTATATAAAGTACACCAAAATTATTAAATATGATTGGTGGGCTCCCAGCAAATCGCGGCCTCAGCTTAAAAAAAATTGAAAACCCCAGTGGGATTCGATCTGACGACCCGAAGTACAATATTCAGCCTTCCAATCATCTCACTGACTTGTCTTGTTGAAATAATTGGTTCATTTATCTTACTTATCCTATATAGTTTCATACTACATATTATTATAGTAATTATAATATTAACTATTCTTTTGCTTTTGCTCATTATTACTATATTAAAAGACTAATTCATATTTTTGAAGTATTTATTTGATCTATGAATCATACTATTACTTTATATAAATATGTTTATAATTTTTTTTATATAGTGTTAGTGAGATGAAAATCACGACTTCTGGAGAATGAGTAATAATGAACTTTTAGTGAGCATCAGACCTATTTTGTTGAGCATACTGAATACACAAATTGATATTTAAGCGTATTGGAGATTTTAAATGAGCTTTTAAATTTTTTCTATGCTCATTTCGTAAATTTTAAAATGAGCATTACACGAGACAACTTAAATGTCATATCCATGCATATTGGCGTAATGCTCATTTTGAACTTTTTGATACTCATTTCACGTTTTATATATTCACATTTAATATTTGAGCATCAAACATTCGCTATTGAGATGAAATTCACGGTTTCTAGTGAATGAGCAATAATAAACGTTTAATGAGCATCATATCCATTCTGTTGAGTATTAGGAGTCTAATATTGAGAATTGTGATCTCCACTTCATAACTTCTAATTCACTTTCTTTTTGTTATTTTTTCTTTTATAAAAGCTTATTAAATTATATATATTTATAATCAACTCCTGTGAATTTCAATATGTGAATTAATGTAAAATAGTACTTTAAAAAATGCATCGATATGACATTTAGACAATGAGCATAAGATCTCTACCAGATGAGCATACGTAACATACAAAATGAGTATTAATGAATTTGTTAGTTGCTTTGTTATTTAAAATGAGCATAACAAAGGTACTAAATGGACATACATAACTTACTAAATGAGTTCAAGATAACGATTTTAATTGAGCATCACACGTCCTCTATTGAGATGAAATTCACGGTTTCTGCTAAATGAGCATTAATGAACTTTTAATGAGCAACAGACCTATTATGTTGAGTATTGTTGAGCAGCATAAATTCTTCTACATAACTGCTGTTTCACTTTCTTTTTCTTATTTTTTCTTTTATATAATTTTTTAAAATTATATCTATAATAGATTCCTATGAATTCCAATATACGAAACTAATTTAATATTAACTTTTGGAATATGCATCAAGACATTTCATTGAGCATCAACTTTTCTCTATTGAACATTGGAACTCTGCAATTGAGCATAAAAATTTCAAAAGGGAAAACTATCAAAAAAGCCCCCATACTTTTAAAAAAAATCAATTACACCCCCCAACTGAAATTTCGCTCAATCAAACCCTCCAACCTATTTTAAAGTGGCAAATCTCCCCTTTTTACCGGTAATGAATTGCTTACCCGGTTACTGTGCACACGTGGTGACCCACGTGGCAGTTTTCATTTTTTTCCATTTTCTTTTTCTTTTTCCTTTCTTTTTCCCTTCTCCTTGGCTTCAGTCCTTCCCCTTTCTCCTCCTCCTACGCCCGTAACAGGCTTCCAGCAACCCCCTTCCTCCTTCACCCTTTCTTCTCCCATTTTCTTCTTTCCTCTCCCAATTCCCACCGACCGGTCGTCGTCCCTTCACACCGTTGCTTGAGACAAACCCTCGTCGTCGGAGATTCTGGAGTATCCATCGCACGTCGGAGTGGCGGACGCCTCCTCGCTGGGTCTGTCGTCCTCTTCCCTCGATTGGATGGCTTGGAAGTCAGTGAAGGTGCTCCGTTGAAGCTTCCGGTTCGGAGACGGTGCTCCGTGAGACCTCAAGGCCGGCCTTTTACAGATCTGCCGCAACTTCAATTCGGTCCCACCGTAGTCGACGGAGGAGAAGTAGGGAGCTGGAGTGAAGGCGGAGGAAGGTGAGAAGGGTGAAGTGAGGCAGGAGAAGTAGGGAAAGAAGAGAACGGGAAAGGAAGAAAATAAGTGCAGGTGTGCGCAGGGAAGAAGGGTGCGGGAGTGAAGAAGCAGAGGAAAGGAAAGAAATGGAAAAGGAAAATGAAAAAGAAAGAGAAAAAGAAAAAGAGAGAAAGGAAAAAAGCCATGTCATACGCCACATGTGCAATCTAACCGGGATTTGGGAGCTATCGGTTAAAAGGGGGGATTTGCTATTTTAAAAAGAGGTTCGAGGGTTTATTTGAGTGAAATTTTAGTTGGGGGGTCTAATTGATTTTTTTTAAAAGTAGAGGGGCTTATTTGATAGTTTTCCCATTTCAAAACTCATTGAGCATAAAAAATCTTCATTGAATAATCAGCCGTAATAGTATTTATCATAAAATGTTATATTGATGTACATTTCATGTAAAAATTATTCTCATTTGGTATAACATAAAACTCTTTTCTTTTACTCATTTTATAATGTTATACCAATGCTCATTTTTTTGAAAGTGGTGCTCATGTATGTATAATATAAAAATCATTTGTGTATAACTCACTCATGTAACATAGTGATTACGAATAAATTAGAATAAATCTTTCTTAACATTAAAATCTTTAGTATGCTCAAATATTAAATGAGAATACAACCTATGAAATGAGCATCAAAAAAATTAAAATGGACATTACACCAATATGTATGGATGTGACATTTAAAATGCTTAGTTTAAAATGAGCATTACACCAATATCAAATGAGCATAGCTAACTTACGAAATGAGCATAGAAAAATTAAAAAGTTGGATCATCTAAAATCTCTAGTATGATATATATTCTCAAATATCAATTTGGGCATGCTCATTTAATATTATACGAAGTATACAGGTGCAATAAACAATAAAATATTTCATGAAAAGAGAAATGAACTTTCACTCTGTAAATTTTTCAAACAGTTGGTAGGCAAAAATTTAAAAGCTTATTTAAAATCTCTAGTAGTTTCTTCTTATCATCCCTACAGTTTTTCTTCTTCTTCAAGCTAATAGGCCACTCACATAGCTTCCTACACACATATAATTAAATGCAAAATCAATTACGGAGTATCAAATACCAAGTATTATGGAAGGAGACATTGGAGCTTTAGAGAAAGTGGAGGTAGAAAATTAATTTTGAAGTTTGAGCTTTGTATTGAATCTCAAACAATTGGTGGCGGCTGAAATCATTAGCGTGTAAGGAGTTACGGAGTATTTCATTATCAGAAACAATGATATTAATAATCAGGCTCAAGCTTCTAAGATAAATTCACAGTGCAAATAAAATTGGGAATGATCGCAGATGCGCGCATGGAAGAACGACCACGGGAAGAATACATATTAGAAAGAATTTCAAAAATACCTGGGTGTACCTGTACACCCGGGTGTACGGTATAAATTGCCTTTTGATTCTGGTTTCAACTCCGATTCAAAAACCGCTTATCGCACAATAGGGAACATGATGAGATGCAAGAGAGTAAGATCATGTATCTACTCTCAACTCGCATTGAACCACATCTCATTTTACCTTTTCCTTTTCAAAATGTTCTTTGGAGTTTGCTTGGGTACACAAAGTGTGTATCCAAAGGGATACACAAAATGTGTACGCATGTCCAGACATGTGTACATATTTTGTGTACACATTTTGTGTACCAAAAGCATATTTCATGTTCTTTTAATATCAAATTTGGTGAAGTTTACCTGACTCTAAATAATTCTTACTTTTTTTTACTCCAGGAGACTTGGGGGGCTGAGGGACCTGGACTAATCAGGGCTGAAACTCACTCCATTGAATTTCGAACTTAAGAACTCTCGTAAGGGAGAGTGGGTAGACGACTAGCTGGGCTGGACAGCTTCCTCATCTAAATTATGTATTGAACATTGAGTATTGAGTAATGAATTTACGAGGTTGTAAATTTTTGTTATTTCTTTTGCGTGAACAGTAGAATTCCACGCGGGGCCCACACCGGGAGCGGGGACCACCCGATATTCTCGAGACCACATATTTTATTCATATTGGTATAGATAATAGTTATATGGTGGTGGACATTCATGTTGGGCCATAAGAAAGGCATTGGGTTGACCGATTGGTCAAACAAGGCCCAATTACCAGTTTTGGTAATTTATGGTATAACAGCCCGATATGGATTTCGGAGGCTTACAAATCAAAGTTGGGGAATGTATAATCATTCTTAAGGCCCGTTATGATGGAAAGTAAGTGTCATATTTTATTTGACCCGATAAAATAAAATATAGTTAAAACAGTCCGAAAAATACAACTTTCGGGACAGAATGTACACTTTGGGGCATATTAGGGTGACCTCCCACATGGGTGGGGGCCACCCCACGAATTTAGCAGCTAATGGGGGCTGATTGGTTCCAAAATTTGGTTGAGAGCTCTTGAAAGGATGGAGGAAACACCTTTGACATCCAAAGGGACCCTCTCACCCATAATTGGCCAAAGAGACAAAAAGAGAAACAGACCCCTCTCCTCACCTAGTAATTCGGCCAGCACCAAGACAAGGAAAGAGAGGAAGCTCTGCAACTTGATACTCCATATCCAAGAGAGCACAAGAAAGCAAGGAGCTCAAGGAAGAAGAAGAAGTTGTGAAAGTAGAGAAACACCTTGGGAATAAAGGTGAGAAGCTCCTTATCAACTTTTCTTCCATCTTTTGATTTTCATATGACTTGTATATCATATGAAGTACTTTTATGATTGTTCTACATGTTTAAAAGTGTGGAACAAGGGGTTGAAAGTAGTTCTAAGTCCAAGAACGGACTTAAAGGCCAAAGGGACCGGTTCGCCAGAAAATAACCTTTTTAAGGTTACTTGTATTGATATGGGTTTGTGATGATAAAACCTTGTTAGGCAATTGTATAAGGTGATTCAAGAGCTTTCACGAAGTTGAAAGAGTCGCCGGAGTTATCGCCGGAGTTCGTCAAAGTTCGCCGGAGTTTCGCCGGAGTTCAACCGAGAAGGGTAGAACTTTATAGCGCTAATTCGAGGTGAGTGGACGGATTAATGTCTTATAACTCTTGGGTTAAATATGAGATTACCTAAGTAAATGTTATATGTGTTCATAATGATGTTTAAAAGATGCTTAAACATGTGATTAACCAAAGTGATTAGGCTTATATGCAGGGCCGGCCTAGAGCATGTTTGGGCTGTGCGACCGCACAGGGCCCAAAAAAATCGAAGGCCCAAAAAATAATATTCTTAACGTAATATAGCTTAGTTCTCAAATGAAGCAAATAAAAAACTCCCTGGCGGGCCTTCCATTGAGGCGTTTATAAAACGCTTCGGTGGCCCAATAAACAAGAGTTACAATTTAAATAGCTTCTCGCATGGGAGAAAGCCTATTTATAGAACACTGGGGCTAAGGAAATTTTCACTAACCGGTGTGGGAAAGGAAATTGAACAGGAGAAGAAGAAAGAAAAGCCCTTATGCTACAGACTTACAGAGTATTTCTTGGACTTTTCATGCCCGTCCACTCTTCTAGATCACCATCACTCCCAATGCTAGCTAATTGATTTTGTTTCATACAAATATTATAAAGTTATTCTTTGAGCCTCTCACTCACTTCTTACCATTCTCACTATTTCGTAAAGTAATTCCAGTTCGTAGTATATCTTTTTTTTAAAGTGGATTTTGTAAACAAATAGTTTCATTTTGATTGTTTTAATTTGTAAATTAATAACTTGTAATTTCACATAAAGTATTAAAAATTTATTGCCAATATAGTGTACAGTTTATTCCTATGTTTATATTTTACTTCATTAAATAAAAGGCCTAATTTTTATTTTTGCACAGGGTCCATTTTTTGTTAGGACCGGCCCTGCTTATATGAATGACCCATTGATATCATAAATGAAGTATGATATGAAAATGTTTATAAAAACATATATGATGTTTTTAAAGGATAAAAAGGGCATAAAATACTTGGTTATAACTTAATACACGTTGGGATTAAGTTTGACACGAATCGGGTTTGAAATGGCGAGTCAACGAAAATGTTGACTAGGTTGCCCAGGGGGTAACTGGCGCCGGTTATAGGCAAAACCGGCGCCGGTTATGGGTCGGCAAGGCTAGTTTAATTAATTTAATTAATAACCGGTGCTGGTTATGTCAAAACTGGCGCTGGTTTGGTGCTGTTTTGCCTAAATGTTGATTTTTAATGCATGAATTGCATGGATGATTATGCTTAGGCCTTAAGACTTGGTTTAGTCTTGATTATTTATTATGATATAGAACTTATCTAGGATGATATGTGGTAGATCATAAGTCGGGTGGAGTACCCAGGGATCAGGCGGTTATCCTCAAAACTAGGTTATAGGGTGGTTATCCTCAAAACTCAGTTATAGGGTGGAGTACCCAGGGATCGGGCGGTTATTCTTAAAACTCGGTTATAGGGTGGAGTACCCAGGTATCGGGCGGTTATCCTCAAAACTCGGTTATAGGGTGGAGTACCAAGGGATCGGGCGGTTATCCTCAAAACTCGGTTATAGGGTGGAGTACCCAGGGATCGGGCGGTTATCCTCAAAACTCGCTTATAGGGTGGAGTACCCAAGGATCGGGCGTGTATCCTCAAAACTCGGTTATATAGGGTGGAGTACCCAAGGATCATGCGCGTATCCTCAAAACTCATAGATTATTATTGAATTACTGTTTTGTAATTTAGGATCGGGCGTTGTCCTCATGTTAAGATGATTTGAACCAGGATGAGTTCTATACACTCATAGATATATGGGTGGGTTGGGGTTTAAGTCAAGGATATTGACTATACTATTTTCCCAAATAAATGATGACCTACGGGTCGGGTATTTCCATGTGTGTGTGTGTGTGTATATATATATATATATATATATATATATATATATATTGATATGTATTTCACAACTTGGGGGAATGAACTACATATTGATATGTAGTTTTGGGATGGGTGACCCCCTGGGAAGTTTCTCAGGGCGCGCATGAGTGAGGACAAAGTGCGTGGTAAAGGCTTGTGGTGGTTTGTGAGGACTGAGGACAGTACTATTGGTCCGAAGTAACTACCTCGGGTCCTGCGGGGTCGGGGTGTTACAGGTGGTATCAGAGCAACCCTGCGACAGTGTGCTGATCCGTTGGATATCGGGCAGTCACCTAGCAGGGGGAAAGATTCTGGGGTTTGATTGAGATTGGTTTAAGGGCGCAACGAGGACGTTGCGATCCTAAGTGGGGGTGATTGTAACACTTGAGATTTGATATAAATGGATTAATAGTACTACTCATACCAACAGAGGTGCATCTCCTTTTAAGGGAGCTCATTACCCAAGAACTCCAAAGTTAAGTGTGCTCGCACGGGAGTAGTCTTGGGATGGGTGACCCCCTGGGAAGTTTCTCAGGGCGCGCATGAGTGAGGACAAAGTGCGCGGTAAAGGCTTGTGGTGGTTTGTGAGGACAGTACTATTGGTCCGAAGTAACTACCTCGGGCCCTGCGGGGCTGGGGTGTTACAATATCACCCTATGTTTGGGTCTTATACGTGAAACGTTAGTTATTCTACATTTAGCCTGCTACTCGCTCGGTACTTGTACTGACCCCTTTGGGGGGGGGCACCATTTCAGGTTGAAGCTCAAGTTTGTTATTCTCACCTTGCTCGGTGAAGTGATCTAAAGGGAGACGTGGTTCGTGCTTCCTTTACCGTTTTTTAAAACTATAAACTATGATCATGGATAATTTGTAATAAATACATTTGTATTGGGCCTGCGAGCTCACGTTTTGGCCATGTGTGGCCCATCATTGAATATTGAATACTTCCGCGATTCGTTCAATCCAAATATGTGATGTTGTTATTTATGTTTAGTTACTGAGTATGGTATGGACTATGTTCATGGACGCCTTGTATGATTAAGTCACGTTGACTTGCGAGTGACGTCGTTTAGTCATACAGCGGTTGCACACGCGCTTAGATGCGGTTTGGGGCGTGACACAAATCCCTTCTCCTACCACACCCCAACCCCCTTCCCCTGCCCTGTCGTTCCAACCATAGATCACTAGCCCAATCCCCGCCCAAGCACAGCCCCAACACCGCCCTAGACCCACGCCATCCCCTGCCTCCTCCATCGTGGCCCCAGCCCTGTATCAGACCCTAGGCCCATAATGTGTCGGTTCCATCCCCAATCGTCATTGACCAAAGAAATGAAAGAAGAAGAAGAAGACAAGTGTGGGGATGTCGTTGAATTGAAGATGCCTATAGCTTGGGTGGCATTGGAGATGTCGTTGAATTGGAGGGCAGCGGCAATATAGCCGCCTTGGGCGGCGACGACAATGCCTTTATCTTGGGTGGCGGCGGTGGATTTGATCTGCAACGACGAAAGAGGCGGAAGAGGAGAAATATGATTATAGGATTTTGTTTTATATTTATAATAACAGGGCTAGTTTTGTCTGTTTAAACATAATCAACCTCTTTTTTGCAAAAATTTTAAAGAACCATATATGACTTTTGTATGGAGTCATATATCCTATGTGGGCATCATCATCACTGCATATTTTTTAGTGAGGGTTCCCACTAAAAATGTGTAGTGATGGTGATGCTCACATAGCATATGTGACTTCATGCATGTGTCACATATGACTCCCTTATTTTTGAATTACTATTTTTGTCATATTCTTTCCATCTATCTTTCCTCCTTACAAGTTACAACTCTACAACAACAACAACAACAATAACACTCAATCCTTAATCCCAAAACAACTCTCCTAAACCAAAAAATTTGGCTTTTCCGATCCATCCCAATAATAAAAAATATTGTTATTTAATTTAGTTGGAGGGTAAGATCCAACATATCGATTCTCAATTATTTAGGAGAAGACACATTTGATTCTTCAAATATGTACATATATACATATATATCCTTTAAAGACTTTTATTATTAATTAATGATAACGATAGTATGTATGTTTTCAATTAATTATGTCATTTTGCGTAGACATTCAGAGTAGCAAATATTTAAATTGGCCGTTAATGCGAGCTTGACTCCTCCACGGTCGTCTCCTAGGCACGTCCTAGGGTTTTTTCGGCGGTGGCCTATCCAGGCCGTGGATTCGGCAGATCTCTCCCCGGTAGGCAACTTATCTCATATATCTTCTTAGGGTATTGAGTTTTGTTGTCATCGCGGGGTTTGTTTGGTTCGTTTTTGTTTTCTTTCTGACTTGCAATTGCGGTGAATCTGGATTCTGTCTGGACGAAGCTTTTGGTTTTTCTGCTTTACAAGAGCAGCGAACAAGCGAGGAAGCTTTCAGGGGGGTTCGAGACTTCTGATTTTGGCAGGGGACGGGTTTAGCAAGGGGAAGATGGGGCGCTGCAGAATGTTGAAGACGAAGCCGAGCTGTTATACTTCGGCAGTTTGGGAACGAGCTTTGACGAAACAGATGGCTATTGGTGATAGCATGGAGTTTCTGGTGGTCGACATCATGCTGTCGGACTGGAAAATCAAATTTCAGGGGTTCATTGGTGGCCTATGTGTGAAAGAAGATGAAGGGATGTTGATCCGCCCACCTCCAGAACCGCCGCCTTGGAGGAATTCTGCGACTAGGGTTTGGACGAGTATTTCTATTTCTGCTGAGTCGATTGTGTTTTGTTTTTATTTTATTTCGATTATGTTTTGTTGCTTATTTAGTTTATGTTGTAAGACTTTTGCACTTGGATTGGGGGATGAGAGGTCTGCTGTAATCGTCGTGGTTTTGAATATGCCCAATTTTGGATTAACGAGTTATATTGCTTTGTCAAAGGTGATTAACTCAAAGTCTCGTCCACGGGCGGATGGTTACTGTGGTCCTTTTGTTATTTCAACCCCTTTCTGAGTACTTTTTATGAATGAATGCATGTTCGATGATAAAAAAAATAGTTGGAGGGTAGACGAGGCCAAATGAGTCATATTTGTGCTTTTTCTAGAAATCTCAAACCCGGTGGACTAAAAATGTTGAATGTTTTGTTGTGTCACTTACAATGGTCATGTTTGGAAAATGGTGGTTCCGCCAAAAATGGGCTGGTTTGACCGATTTTGGCACTTTTGACACTTGAATACACTGATTTTAAGTGTCAATTGGTAGATAGCAGGTTGCTTTAGCGGTTTGGGCCGAAACGCCAAAAAATAAAACACTGTAAAATGCAGCCTTTAGGTTCCGACGGTTTAAAAAATCTTAACACTTCTCAAACTTGCCCTCCTTTTACATATGTGAGAAGCTACGTAGGTATAGTATATGTGAGGTGTTCAAATATTTGTGATAATTCTTCTCTGTTGCATTAGGGCATACTCAACCATGGATTATTTTTGGGATCATTTTGATGATCTGGATGATTTTTTAAAGATCATGAATGAGAAGTTAAGATTATTTTACAAACTTTTTTGGGGGAAATCTGGTATCAAATATCAAATCTGGATTATTAGGGATTATTTTCAAACTTTTAGACTCATTCTCCAACAATGCATTTACACGTATACATGAAGTGAGTTGGTGACTCTTGGGATTAGTGACAATTTAGTTCGTACTGTGGTCATAAAAAAGTTTAAATTTAAGTGTATGTCCCCATAAAAAAATTGGGAAATTTGTGATCATGGTTGAGATAGGATTGTAAAATTTTGAAATTATTTATGTGGCTGGCAATAGCAAATCATAAAAACAAATTTGATGAGCATGAATGAATAACAAAAATGTATGACTCATCATAGGTGTAAAGTATGATGGTGTGTACGTGTCATGCATTGAATGTCGCAGTGTAATTTTTCTTAATAAAAAAGGGGCCCTCCTAAATTTAGAGACCGTTTGGCAACCTTGTTTTTCAGCTTATCAGACTTATCAGCCGACTTTTTCACCAAACACGTAAATTTTGCTTTCGGGAGTTGAATTGTGTAATAAGCAGAAAAAGTAAGGTTGGAGATACTTTTCTGGCTGTATTGGCAGAAGTTACTTTATATGACCATTTTAGTTGTTTTTACATATAATTTTTTCTTTATTTTATTAGTAAAATATATTTTAAAAATAATTTTTTCTTATATCAGCAGAATCAACCAATGCAGCCACTTCAGCCAGAACTTCACAAATTTCAGCAGAATCAGCCAAAACAGCCGATTTTCGTGCTATCAAACGGACTCTTAATTTGTGAATAACCATAGCCTTTTAGTACAAATTGTGTTGGTTTGTGATTTTGAAATTACAAATTGAGCCATATTTAAGATACAACGAAACTATTGAAAAGAATATTTCTCCACCGAACCAACCAGTGGATTGAAAAAACGTGAGTAATTATAATGTTGTGAAATGAAGAAGATGAAGACCAACTTTAAGAGATAAATATATTATTAATAAGTTCTAAATTATTTCTTCTTAATATCTGAGATTTTCTGAATTTCTGAATGAATTTACAAGGTTCCATCAAGCTCCTATTTATAGTGTTTGAGCTTTGATGATTAGTCACCTAAATGATGAGTCTACAGATTTGGTGGCAATAACAAATTGAGTCACCTGTTCTAACTAGGTTACAAGGACCATTACAAGGATAATGAATAGCTTGGTGTCCTAATGACAAGGATGAACAATTAACACTTGTCAATTTGATGGTTTTACAACACCCCCCCTTGAATGTTCATCCTTGAATATGTATTTGTTATTTTAAAAACATATTGTGAAAATTAGTGGGAAATTAAAGGAGTAAATATTACGACTTATAATGTCGTTGTATTTGGATGTACTGTCTCGTTAAAAACCTTATCAGGAAAAACCCAATGGGATATAAAAACCTGATGAAGGAAAAAAGAGTGTAGTGCATTCAAATACTCCCCCTGAATTTAGCATAAATTATGAAGGCGGCGCATCCCGATTTTCTGTACACGTTCTATGAATTTCTTCGGGGGTAAAGATTTGGTGAAGAGATTGACCGGATTTTCACTCGATCTGATTTGTTGTATATTGATCGTCCCTTCTTTTCCCAGATTATGAGTAGAGAAAAATTTTGGTGATATGTGTTTCGTTCTGTCTCCTTTGATGTAGTCTTCTTTAATTTGAGCTATGCACGCAGTGTTGTCTTCGTAAATCACAGTAGGGTGACAGTAATAGGCTTCATACCGCATTCATTCTGGATTTGTTGAATCATAGATCGCAGCCATACACATTCTCTTCCAGTTTCATATAGTGCAATTAACTCCGAATGATTTGATGATGTAGCTGTCAACGTCTGTTTCATAGATCTCCACGAGATTGCGGTATTACCATAAGTAAATACGTACCTGGTTTGTGATTTAGCCTTTTGAGGATCTGATAAATATTCAGCGTCTGCATATCCGATTAAAGAAGCTTTGGCATCTTTGTGGTAGAATAGGCCGAGATCAACTGTACCACGGAGATAACGGAATATGTGCTTGATCCCGTTCCAATGACGTCTTGTTGGACATGAGCTGTACCTAGCTAATAAATTTACAGAAAATGCAATATCTGGTCTAGTATTATTAGCTAAATACATTAAAGCTCCGATAGCACTCAGATATGGTACTTCGGGACCGAGTATATCTTCATCGTCTTCTCGTGGACGGAATGGATCATCGTGTATGTTGAGAGATCGAACGACCATTGGTGAGGTCAACGAATGAGCTTTGTCCATATAGAATCTCTTCAAAACTTTCTCGGTGTAATTGGATTGGTGGATGAAAATTCCATTCTTCAAATGCTCAATTTGAAGTCTAAGACAAAATTTGGTTCTCCCGAGATCTTTCATTTCAAATTCTTTCATAAGATATTTTGCAGTATTTTCAATTTCATCGGGAGTTCCAATAATGTTTAAGTCATCTACATATACTGCGATTATGGCGAATCCCGAATTTGATCGCCGAATGAAAACACATGGACTAATTAGATCATTCTTATATCCTTCTTTGAGAAGGTATTCACTGAGACGATTATACCACATTCGTCCAGATTGTTTTAGTCCGTACAATGACTTCTGTAGTTTAATGGAAAACATTTCTCGAGGTTTCGAGCTATAAGCTTCAGGCATTTTAAATCCTCCGGGAACTTTCATATAAATGTCTGTATCGATTGAACCGTATAAATATGCAGTCACTACATCCATTAGGCGCATTTGCAGCCTTTCAAAAATAGACATGCAAATGAGAAACCTTAATGTAGTTCCATCAACTACTCGAGAATAGGTTTCTTCATAATCGATTCCCGGCATTTTAGAAAAATCTTGGGTAACAAGTCGGGCTTTATATCTAACAATTTCATTTTTCTCATTGCGTTTACGCACAAATTCCCATTTAAAACCCACAGGTTTTACGGCTTTTGGCGTAGGGACTATCGCACTCCAAAAACATCATGTTTTTCAAGTGATTTTAATTCAGCCTGAATAGCTTCATTCCATTTTGGCCAATCATGTCGTTTCCGACATTCTTCAATTGATGTTGGCTCATTGTCATTGTTTTCATTCATAACATTTGTGGCAACGACATAGACAAATATCTCATTAATATCAAAATCTTTTCGATTTCATTGCATTCCAGTAGAAACGTAATTTATTGAAATTTCATAATTATCAACGTTTCTATCATTATCTGGAATATCTTCCTCATTTAAGGAAGTTGTATCATCATTTGAGATGTTTGTTTTGTCAATATCATTTTCTATGCCAGTATTTTCAAATTGTTCATTTTCTTATTCAGAAGGATGAACATCTTTGGCATCACAGATCAATTCCTGTCTTTTAGTTCTTCTTGGTTTTATGTCTTTCGATCCAAGTGGCCTGCCACGCTTTTTGCGTATATAAGAATCATTTGCAAGAGATTTTTCAGAATTCTCTGTTGGGATTTCCATTCTGGCAGGGGCATTCATAGCAGGAATATGTGACTTTGTCGCTTTCTTTGTATCTGTGAATGCATCAGGCAACTGATTTGCAACAATTTGTAAATGGATTATCTTTTGCACCTCTTGCTCACATATATTTGATCTAGAATCAAGGTGTGATAATCATGTTGCATTCCATGTTATTTCTTTCGTACTTGGGTTCGATTTATTAGTTTCTCCCCCTAAGGTTGGGAATACTGTCTCATTGAAATGACAGTCAGCGAACCGTGCGGTGAATAAATCACCAGTCATCGGTTCAAGATATTTTATTATTGAGGGAGATTCAAATCCAACATAAATTCTCAACCTTCTTTGAGGACCCATTTTTGTACGATGAGGTGGAGCAATCAGAACAAAAACAGCACAACCAAATATCTTTATGCATGTGTGCTAAGTTTGGCTCTTGTCCAGTTATTAATTGCATTGGGGAATATTCATGATATGCAGTCGGTCTAAGCCGAATTAAATTTGTTGCATGTAAAATAGCATGTCCCCAAGCTGATGAAGGTAAATTACACTTCATTAATAATGGTCTAGCGATTAATTGTAATCGTTTAATCAAAGATTCAGCAAGACCATTTTGTGTATGGACATGAGCAACAGGGTGCTCCACATCAATCCCAATCGACATACAATAGTCGTTAAATGATTGAGAAGTAAATTTTCCTGCATTATCAAGTCGGATTCTCTTTATAGAATGATCCGGAAAATGGGCTCTTAATCGTATGATTTGAGCAAGGAGTTTAGCAAATGCTAAATTTCTAGTCGATAAAAGACTAACATGTGACCAACGTGTTGAAGCATCAAGCAACACCATAAAATATCGAAATGGTCCACATGGTGGGGCTATTGGCCCACAAATATCTCCTTGAATCCTTTTTAAGAATGCAGGTGATTCAGTTGCAATTTTGTTAATTCATAGAAGGCCTGATGATCATTTTGCCAAGTGAACAAGCCTTACAAGGAAAATCACTTGATAATGGAACCCTGATATTCTTTAATGGGTGTCCAAGTGAAGTC